CGAGCGTGTGGGTCTCTGCGCGAGCGTGTGGGTCTCTGCGCGAGCGTGTGGGTCTTTGCGCGAGCGTGTGGGTCTCTGCGCGAGCCTGTGGGTCTCTGCGCGAGCGTGTGGGTCTCTGCGCGAGCGTGTGGGTCTCTGTGCGAGTGTGTGGGTGTCTGCGCGAGCGTGTGGGTCTCTGCGTGAGTGTGTCGGTCTCTGCGCGAGCGTGTGGGTCTCTGCGCGAGCCTGTGGGTCTCTGCGCGAGTGTGTGGGTCTCTGCGCGAGCGTGTGGGTCTCTGCGCGAGTCTGTGGGTCTCTGTGCGTGACAGCACTCGTCATCCAGTTAACAAGTTACCCCTTCTTCTTGGTTCTTTCGGTAAAGTCACGTAGAAGGGAAGTAATAAAATAATAAAAATAAAACATAATAAAACAATTCTCACGACGTTTCGGCCACAACGCAAGCAGCCGTCCTCAGGCGAAGAATGAAACACCACCAAGCTGGTTAGCGCACTGTGTGTGTGAGTGGGGAGTGGTGGTGCAGTGGTTAGCGCACTGTGTGTGTGAGTGGGGAGTGGTGGTGCAGTGGTTAGCGCACTGTGTGTGTGAGTGGGGAGTGGTGGTGCAGTGGTTAGCTCACTGTTTAAGTGTGGAGTAGTGGTGCAGTGGTTAGCGCACTGTGTGTGTGAGTGGGGAGTGGTGGTGCAGTGGTTAGCGCACTGTGTGTGAGTGGGGAGTGGTGGTGCAGTGGTTAGCGCACTGTGTGTGAGTGGGGAGTGGTGGTGCAGTGGTTAGCGCACTGTGTGTGTGTGAGTGGGGAGTGGTGGTGCAGTGGTTAGCGCACTGTGTGTGTGAGTGGGGAGTGGTGGTGCAGTGGTTAGCTCACTGTTTAAGTGTGGAGTGGTGGTGCAGTGGTTAGCGCACTGTGTGTGTGAGTGGGGAGTGGTGGTGCAGTGGTTAGCGCACTGTGTGTGAGTGGGGAGTGGTGGTGCAGTGGTTAGCGCACTGTGTGTGTGTGAGTGGGGAGTGGTGGTGCAGTGGTTAGCTCACTGTTTAAGTGTGGAGTGGTGGTGCAGTGGTTAGCGCACTGTGTGTGTGAGTGGGGAGTGGTGGTGCAGTGGTTAGCGCACTGTGTGTGTGAGTGGGGAGTGGTGGTGCAGTGGTTAGCGCACTGTGTGTGTGAGTGGGGAGTGGTGGTGCAGTGGTTAGCTCACTGTTTAAGTGTGGAGTAGTGGTGCAGTGGTTAGCGCACTGTGTGTGTGAGTGGGGAGTGGTGGTGCAGTGGTTAGCGCACTGTGTGTGAGTGGGGAGTGGTGGTGCAGTGGTTAGCGCACTGTGTGTGAGTGGGGAGTGGTGGTGCAGTGGTTAGCGCACTGTGTGTGTGTGAGTGGGGAGTGGTGGTGCAGTGGTTAGCGCACTGTGTGTGTGAGTGGGGAGTGGTGGTGCAGTGGTTAGCTCACTGTTTAAGTGTGGAGTGGTGGTGCAGTGGTTAGCGCACTGTGTGTGTGAGTGGGGAGTGGTGGTGCAGTGGTTAGCGCACTGTGTGTGAGTGGGGAGTGGTGGTGCAGTGGTTAGCGCACTGTGTGTGTGTGAGTGGGGAGTGGTGGTGCAGTGGTTAGCTCACTGTTTAAGTGTGGAGTGGTGGTGCAGTGGTTAGCGCACTGTGTGTGTGAGTGGGGAGTGGTGGTGCAGTGGTTAGCGCACTGTGTGTGAGTGGGGAGTGGTGGTGCAGTGGTTAGCGCACTGTGTGTGAGTGAGTGGGGAGTGGTGGTGCAGTGGTTAGCGCACTGTGTGTGTGTGAGTGGGGAGTGGTGGTGCAGTGGTTTTCTCACTGTGTGTGAGTGGGGAGTGGTGGTGCAGTGGTTAGCGCACTGTGTGTGTGTGTGGAGTGGTGGTGCAGTGGTTAGCGCAGTGTGTGTGAGTGGGGAGTGGTGGTGCAGTGGTTAGCTCACTGTGTGTGTGTGTGGAGTGGTGGTGCAGTGGTTAGTGCAGTGTGTGTGAGTGGGGAGTGGTGGTGCAGTGGTTAGCTCACTGTGTGAGTGTGTGAGTGTGGAGTGGTGGTGCAGTGGTTAGCGCAGTGTGTGTGTGTGTGGAGTGGTGGTGCAGTGGTTAGCGCACTGTGTGTGTGTGGGGAGTGGTGGTGCAGTGGTTAGCGCACTGTGTGTGTGTGAGTGGGGAGTGGTGGTGCAGTGGTTAGCTCACTGTTTAAGTGTGGAGTGGTGGTGCAGTGGTTAGCTCACTGTGTGTGTGGAGTGGTGGTGCAGTGGTTAGTGCAGTGTGTGTGAGTGGGGAGTGGTGGTGCAGTGGTTAGCTCACTGTGTGAGTGTGTGAGTGTGGAGTGGTGGTGCAGTGGTTAGCGCAGTGTGTGTGTGTGTGGAGTGGTGGTGCAGTGGTTAGCGCACTGTGTGTGTGTGGGGAGTGGTGGTGCAGTGGTTAGCGCACTGTGTGTGTGTGAGTGGGGAGTGGTGGTGCAGTGGTTAGCTCACTGTTTAAGTGTGGAGTGGTGGTGCAGTGGTTAGCTCACTGTGTGTGTGGAGTGGTGGTGCAGTGGTTAGCTCACTGTGTGTGAGTGGGGAGTGGTGGTGCAGTGGTTAGCGCCTTCCCCACTGAATGTTCGTTTGGAGTCTCGAGACCTCCTGGCAGACCTCTGCTGGGACCCCGGTGAAGTTGACCCCAAAGGGGATCGACCCCCAATTGTTGACCCTTCAATCATTGACTCCACCACCACCACCACCCACCCACCCACCACCACCATCACCCACCCACCCACCACCACCACCACGGCCAACTCAACTTTTCTGGACGTCACCTACAGAGTTGAAAGCAAACTGTGAGATGCTCCCTCACTCACCCACCCGCTTGATCACTTACCAACTCACTCACCCACTCACCGACCCAATCACCCACTCACTCAACCACCCGCTCACTCACCCACTCACTCACTAACCCAATCACTCACTCACCCACCCAATCACTCAACCACCTACTCACTCACCCACTCACTCACTAACCCACTCACTTACTCACCGACCCACTCACCCACCCACTCACTCACCTACTCACTCACCTACTCACCCACTCACTCATCCACTCACTCACCCACTCAGTCACTCGCCCACCCACTCACCCACCCACAAACCCAATCAACCTCCAATCCATTCATGGCTGAATTCACTCACCCACTCATTCACTCACCCACCCATCCGTCACTCATTCACTCACCCACTCATTCACTCACCCACCCATCCGTCACTCATCCACTCACCCACTCATTCACTCACCCACCCATCCGTCACTCATCCACTCACCCACTCATTCACTCACCCACCCATCTGTCACTCATTCACTCACCCACTCATTCACTCACCCACCCATCCGTCACTCATTCACTCACCCACTCATTCACTCACCCACCCATCCGTCACTCATCCACTCACCCACTCATTCACTCACCCACCCATCCGTCACTCATTCACTCACCCACTCATTAACTCACCCACCCATCTGTCACTCATTCACTCACCCACTCATTCACTCACCCACCCATCCGTCACTCATCCACTCACCCACTCACCCACCCATCCGTCACTCATCCACTCACCCACTCATTCACACCTGCAACGAACGTCCGCGATGGCTCAGCGGTGAGTGCGCGCCGATCGTCACGCGCGCACTCACACCGCCACACGCTCTCTCCACGCCCACAGACACCACGCAACGTCGCTAGTTTACGCTCGGATTTATTCTCGACGCGACTGCAATTTAGACACGAGCGGTCTCGAAGCGCGAATCACCCAGCGAACGAGCCGTGTCCCTCCCAGTCCTATTGAATCCCTCGGTAGGTCTCTTCGCTACCTCTCACCTCTCTCGCGTACTCACGACTCCGCCCATCACCGCCACCACCATCACCGCCACCACCATCACCACCACCATCACCACCACCACCACCATCACCGCCGCCACCACCATCACCGCCACCACCACCATCACCACCACCATCACCGCCACCACCATCACCGCCACTATCACCATCACCACCACCACCATCACCACCACCATCACCGCCACCACCATCACCGCCACCACCACCATCACCGCCACCATCATCACCACCACCATCACCGCCACCATCACCACCACCACCACCATCACCACCATCACCGCCACCACCATCACCGCCACCATCACCACCGCCACCATCACCATCACTGCCACCACCATCACCGCCACCATCACCACCACCACCATCACCGCCACCACCATCACCGCCACCATCACCACCGTCACCATCACCACCACCACCACCATCACCATCATCACCACCACCATCACTGCCACCATCACCACCACCACCATCACCACCACCATCACCACCACCACCATCACCACCACCATCACCACCACCATCACCACCACCATTACGCCACCACCATCACCACCACCATCACCACCGCCACCACCACCACCACCATCACCACCACCATTACGCCACCACCATCACCACCACCATCACCACCGCCACCATCACCACCACCATCACTGCCACCACCATCACCACCGCCACCACCATCACCACCACCATCACCGCCACCACCATCACCGCCACCACCATCACCGCCACCATCACCACCCGCCACCATCACCACCACCATCACCGCCACCACCATCACCACCACCATCACCACCACCACCATCACCGCCACCACCATCACCGCCACCATCACCACCACCATCACCACCGCCACCATCACCACCCGCCACCATCACCACCACCATCACCACCACCACCATCACCACCACCATCACCACCGCCACCATCACCACCACCACCATCACCCGCCACCATCACCACCGCCACCATCACCACCACCATCACCACCGCCACCATCACCACCACCACCATCACCGCCACCATCACCACCGCCACCATCACCACCACCATCACCACCCGCCACCATCACCACCACCATCACCACCGCCACCACCATCATCACCACCACCACCATCACCATCACTGCCACCATCACCACCACCATCACCACCACCACCACCATCACCATCATCACCACCACCATCACCACCGCCACCACCATCACCGCCACCATCACCACCGCCACCATCACCACCGTTCCTCAGTGCGGAGCGGAAGAGCGGAGGAGCCGGACACCAACATTCCGCACGAGCGCAGGGACAGCTCGCTGACTCCACCTACGCAGACGTCGCGCTCGAGCCCACGGACTCCCGCGTCCCGGGCGAGGGAATCCACCACGTCTCGCCCGGCGCCTGTCTAGAGCGAAACTCGACGGTGTGAACGCGCGGAGCGAGACGCGACGTCGCACCCAACGGGGCGCCGCGACCGTCGAGATCCGCGAGAGTGACGAAGCTTCCTCCTGGCGCCACGTCCGGCGGGAAGCTTCCTCCTAGACGTGGCGCCAGGCGGCGCGCGCCACCCGCGGCGCCAGCGCGAGCAGCAGCGCCGTGGCCCAAGTGGCGGCGGCGGCGAGGCGGCGAGGCGCCCCGCTGCTGGTGGCGGTCGCCCGCCCCGCTGGCGCCGTCGACGACGCCGCCGCTGCTGCTGCAAAGGGGCCAGCGGAGAGACGAGACGACAGTCGCCATCGCTGTGAGAGCGCTGTACGAGTGGGGGGCCTCCTACCCCCCCTCCACCTCCTCCATCTACACCACCTCCACCTCCTACATCTCCTCCACCACCACCACCATCAACACCACCAACTCCTCCACCACCACCAGCACCACCTCCGAGGAGATGGAAGATTTGGAGGTTGTTGGCAGTTGAGACTGAAATCTGTTCCTCACTTGTTCACTCACCCACTCACTCACCCACTCACTCACCCACTCACTCACCCACTCACTCACCCAATCACTCACCCACTCACTCACCCAATCACTCACTCACTCACTCACCCACTCACTCACTCACCACTCACTCACTCACTCACTCACCCACTCACTCACCCACTCACTCACCCACTCACCCACTCACTCACTCACTCACCCACTCACCCACCCACTCACTCACTCACCACCCAATCACTCACTCACTCACTCACTCACCCACTCACTCACCCAATCACTCACTCACCTCACTCACTCACCCACTCACCCACTCACTCACTCACTCACTCACCCACTCACTCACTCACCCACTCACTCACCCACTCACTCACTCAATCACTCACTCATTCACTCACCCAATCACTCACCACTCACCCACTCACCCACTCACCCACTCACTCACTCACTCACCCACTCACCCACTCACCCACTCACTCATTCACTCACCCACTCACCCACTCACCCACCCAATCACTCACTCACTCACCCAATCACTCACCCACTCACTCATTCACTCACCCACCACTCACTCACTCACTCACCCACTCACCCACTCCTCACCCACTCACTCACCCACTCACTCACACCACTCACTCACTCACCCACTCACTCACCCAATCACTCACTCACCCACTCACTCACTCACCCACTCACTCACCCAATCACTCATTCACTCACTCACCCAATCACTCATCTACTCACTCACTCACCCAATCACTCACTCACTCACTCACCCACTCACCCAATCACTCACCCACTCACCCACTCACTCACCTCACCCACTCACCCACTCACTCACCCACTCACTCACTCACTCACCCACTCACTCACCCACTCACTCACCACCACTCACTCACCCACTCACTCACCCACTCACTCACCCACTCACCCAATCACTCACCCACTCACTCACCCACTCACTCATTCACTCACCCAATCACTCACTCACTCACCCACTCACTCACTCACTCACCCACTCACCCACTCACCCACCCAATCACTCACTCACTCACTCACCCAATCACTCACCCAATCACTCACCCAATCACTCACCCAATCACTCACCCAATCACTCACTCACCACACCACTCACCCATCACTCACCCACTCACTCACTCACTCACCCACTCACTCACTCACTCACTCACCCACTCACTCACTCACCCACTCACTCACTCACTCACTCACCCACTCACTCACCCACTCACTCACCCACTCACCCACTCACTCACTCACTCACCCACTCACCCACCCACTCACTCACTCACCCACCCACTCACTCACTCACTCACTCACCCACTCACTCACCCACTCACTCACTCACTCACTCACCCACTCACCCACTCACTCACTCATTCACTCACTCACCCACTCACTCATTCACTCACTCACTCACCCACTCACTCACTCACCCACTCACTCACTCACTCACCCACTCACTCATTCACTCACTCACTCACTCACCCACTCACTCACCCACTCACCCACTCACCCACTCACTCACTCACTCACCCACTCACCCACTCACCCACTCACTCAGTCACTCACCCACTCACCCACTCACCCACCCAATCACTCACTCACTCACTCACCCAATCACTCACCCACTCACTCATTCACTCACCCACCCACTCACTCACTCACTCACTCACCCACTCACCCACTCACTCACCCACTCACTCACCCACTCACTCATTCACTCACCCACTCACTCACTCACCCACTCACTCAGTCACCCACTCACTCACCCACTCACTCAGTCACTCACTCACCCAATCACTCAGCCACTCACTCACCCACTCACCCAATCACTCACCCACTCACCCACTCACTCACACCACTCACTCACTCACCCACTCACCCACTCACTCACCCACTCACTCACTCACTCACCCACTCACTCACCCACTCACTCACCCACTCACTCACCCACTCACTCACCCACTCACTCACCCACTCACCCACTCACTCACCCACTCACTCACCCACTCACTCATTCACTCACCCAATCACCTATTCACTCACTCACTCACCCAATCACTCACCCACTCACCCACTCACCCACTCACTCACTCACCAATTCACTCACCCACGCACTCACTCACCCACTCACTCACTCACTCACTCACTCACTCACCCAATCACTCACCCAATCACTCACCCAATCACTCACCCAATCACTCACCCAATCACTCACATCACCTCCCACTCACCCAATCACTCACCCACTCACCCACTCACCCACTCACCCACCCACTCACTCCCCCACTCACTCACCCACTCACCCACTCACTCACCCACTCACTCACCCACTCACTCATTCACTCACCCACTCACTCACTCACCCACTCACTCACCCAATCACTCACTCACCCACTCACCCATCACTCACCCACTCACTCACCCACTCACTCAATCACTCACTCACCCAATCACTCACTCACTCACTCACCCAATCACTCACTCACTCACTCACCCACTCAACCCAATCACTCACCCACTCACCCACTCACTCACCCACTCACTCACTCACCCACTCACCCACTCACCCACTCACTCACCCACTACTCACTCACTCACCCACTCACTCACCCACTCACTCACCACCCACTCACTCACCCACCTCACCCAATCACTCACCCACTCACTCACCCACTCACTCATTCACTCACCCAATCACTCACTCACTCACCCAATCACTCACCCACTCACCCACTCACCCACTCACTCACCCACTCACCCACTCACCCACCCACTCACCCACTCACCCACTCACTACATCACTCACCCACTCACCCACTCACCCACCCAATCACTCACTCACTCACTCACTCACCCAATCCTCACCCATCACTCACCCAATCACTCCCCAATCACTCACCCAATCACTCACTCACCCACTCACCCATCACTCACCCACTCACCCACTCACCCACTCACCCACTCACCCACTCACCCACCCAATCAATCACTCACTCACATCACCCCTCCACCCAATCACTCACCCAATCACTCACCCAATCACTCACTCACCCACTCACCCACTCACTCACCCACTCACCATCACCCACTCACCCACCTACCCACTCACCACCACTCACTCACTCATCCCCAACTCACCCATCACTCACCCAATCACTCACCCAATCACTCACTCACCCACTCACCCACTCACCTCACCCACTCACTCACCCACTCACCCACTCACCCACTCACCCAATCACTCACCCAATCACTCACCCAATCACTCACGTCACCCACTCACCCCCACTCACCACTCACTCACCCACTCACCCACTCACCCACTCACTCACCCACTCACTCACCCACTCACTCATTCACTCACCCACTCACTCACTCACCCACTCACTCACCCCATCACTCACTCACCCACTCACTCACTCACCCACTCACTCACCCAATCACTCATTCACTCACTCAACCAATCACTCACTCACTCACTCACCCAATCACTCACTCACTCACTCACCCACTCACCCAATCACTCACCCACTCACCCACCATCACTCACCCACTCACTCACTCACCCACTCACCCACTCACCCACTCACTCACCCACTCACTCACTCACTCACCCACTCACTCACCCACTCACTCACCCACTCACTCACCCACTCACTCACCCACTCACTCACCCACTCACTCACCCACAATCCCACTCACTCACCCACTCACATTCATCAACCCAATCACTCACTCACTCACTCACCCAATCACTCACCCACTCACCACCACTCACCCACTCACTCACTCACTCACCCACTCACCCACTCACCCCCCAATCACTCACTCACTCACTCCACTACACCAATCACTCACCCAATCACTCACCCAATCACTCACCCAATCACTCACCCAATCACTCACTCACCCACTCACCCACTCACCCACTCACCCCCACTCACCCACTCACCCACTCACCCACCCAATCACTCACTCACTCACTCACCCACTCACCCAATCACTCACCCAATCACTTAATCACTCACTCACCCACTCACCCACTCACTCACCCACTCACCCACTCACCCACCCACTCACTCACTCACTCACCCACTCACCCAATCACTCACCCAATCACTCACCCAATCACTCACTCACCCACTCACCCACTCACTCACCCACTCACTCACCCACTCCTCACCCACTCACCCACTCACCCACTCACCCACCCACTCACCCACTCACTCACCCACTCACTCCAATCGTGACTTTACCGAAAGAACGGCCAAAGAGTGATTCCTGCAGTCACCAAAGCTCCAATTGAGCATGAATGGGGCGTTGCACTTGGGAGCCCGAGCAGCCAACGGAGATCCACACGGGGCGTCTGAAACACGTTGTTTTTAAACGCACCGTTTTCCGCGCTGCCGACTTCACTGGGCTGACCACGGCCATTTGCATCGTCAGGGTCAGACGATGGAAGCCACGGCCCTCCCGCGTACCTGGCGAGGTAGCTGACACCTCGTCCTCCTCGTCGTCCTCCTCGTCGTCGTCCTCGTCGTCGTCATCCTCGTCGTCATCCTCGTCAGCACCACCGTCACGGCTGCTACTGGCGTCGGGGGCGGTGGTCTCCTGCTCATCGTCCTCCTCCTCGTAGCCGGAGCCGTCCTGGCCCCGATCCTCACCGTCCGACGCCACTGGGGGTGACGGTGGTGGTGGTGACGGTGGTGGTGGTGACGGTGGTGGTGACGGTGGTGGTGGTGGTGACGGTGGCGGTGGTGGTGGTGGTGGTGGCGGTGGTGGTGGTGGTGGTAGTAGTGACGGCGGTGGTGGTTGTGACGGTGGTGGTGGTAGTGATGGTAGTAGTGGTGGTGGTAGTGGTGGTGGTGTTGGCGGTGACGGTGCCGGTGCCGCACCGCGGAGGGATTCCTCCCCGAGGGGTTTGCCGGCGGCGGCGGTGACTTTGCTCACCCGGGACGTGGAGGTGCGCGCACAGCTGGCTGGAGCCCAGGTTGTTGGTGGCGAAGCAGGTGTAGGTGTCCGCGTCCTCGCGACGCAAGTCCAAGATGCGCAGGGTGCCGTTCTCGAACACGTGGTAGCGCTCGCCCGTCACGGAGAGGCTCCGGTAGTTCCTGAACCTGGCGGTGCGCGGGGAGGCGTGGGGGTGGTATGGGGGGGTGGGGGGGGGTATGGGGGGGTGGGGTATGGGGGGTGGGGGGGTGGGGGGGGTATGGGGGGGTGGGGGGGGTGGAACCGTTGGGGTTTGACGGCGACGCCGCTGGGGGTGTTGAGATGCTTTGGGAGACGCGGAGTGAACGTCCGGGGACGTTGGAGCGGCAAGATCTACGCGGCCCTCCCCCCCCTCATCCTCCCCCCCCTCCTCCCCCTCCCCCCCTCCTCCCCCCTCCCTCCTCCCCCTCCTCTTTAACATTGAAGTCTATGGGAGACACTTTGACATTGAGGTCTATGGGAGACACTTTAACATTGAAGTCTATGGGAGACACTTTGGCATTGAAGTCTATGGGAGTCACTTTGACATTGAAGTCTATGGGAGACACTTTGACATTGAAGTCTATGGGAGACACTTTGACATTGAAGTCTATGGGAGTCACTTTGACATTGAAGTCTATGGGAGACACTTTAACATTGAAGTCTATGAGAAACACTCTGAC